ATTAGGAAACAAGTAGAGCAACTTCCTTGAGTCCATTGCATTTTCCCCAGCTCAGCTAACAGGGAACTATCTTCAAAACTCGCTCAACCAGCATCTACACTAGTGTCGCACAAAGGAAACTTCAAAGACAAACGCTTCATCTACCACACGTATAGGGCTCAGACTTCCCAAGACAGCCGGTTTGGAAGTATTTGTTCCCAATGCTGCTTCAGGACATAAGACCACATTAGTGAATTTTGGCCACCAAAGCAGGCCAAGATGATGGGAACCCAATATTATTCAGTTCAACTAACCCACAATAACTTAACATTCTCCAAAGGCATTGGACATTTAAGTGCACTTCTCAGTCAGGCATCTATTCATTGTATTTGTTCAATTCTCACATTACTATGAACACGAACAACTCACGCGCTGGACTGTTAAGTACTTAAGAAGGCATTGTACCAAAGACTTCAAAAAAGATCAGTTTATCTTAAAGTGGTCACAATCTTCCACTGCATTGGACTGAACTCTTGACTTTTATGTTCAAGTCTGTGAAGCTTTTTTAAATAGCATGTATTATCAGCAAACAAACCTTGGGCAACAACCTAACTATAGAGACTATGAAGCATGGGGACAGGCTTAGGTTGTTCAGCTGCATCAATTGCTTCTTCAAATCACATAGGTGTCATCCATAAAGGAGATTCATATTTCCAGCCCCATGTTTTAAAGTGAGATTTATTTTCCCTTCCTTCCTGGAAATGGTAAAGCATTACAAAAATTGAAGCACACACATGCTTTGGACTTTGTGCATTAAAGGGAGAGAGATCAAGGTTTGGTTGGGGTTTTTCAAAACTCTTCAGGACTCCTTGCACAAATCAATGGGAAGAGAGGGCAATTATAGTGCAGCATTTGAAGAAGAACACGATGATTAAGGAAACAACAACATTTAGAGCAACTCCCGTATATTTCAGTTGTGCCTTTTACTTGAAAAAGGTTCTTAAACATCACATTGTATAAAAGAGGCACGGAAAATGGGGCTTAGCGCAGAGGTCTACACTTCACCTTACACAGTCCGTACAGGCACCTAGCAGATTGTCGTGACCCTCTAGCAAAACCACTAGTGCTTGGGCTGATGCTGAAACATACTCAACTTTATTTCAACTTGAAGCAGCACTACTGCAATGTTTAATCAACTCAAGGGGAGGAAAAAAAACCCACCAACTTTCTACAAGTTTATTTAGCATAGCGAGGATCCATGTGGACTTGACCAAATACACTTCCACAGGACAGGCAGAAGAACAACCTCCAGCACCTGTGTTCTCCATTAAAGCATTAAAGTCTTCAGAAGTATCCATCTACCCAGCCAAACCCAAACCGGACTAGTACCCAGCAGCGGAAGCCTCCACAATAGACCTAGATCCTACAAGGGCAGCGTTGTAGGCTCATGCACAACATATCCCTCACACAAGAAAGCCAACCGACAGAAAACACAGCTGACAACTGTAGAAGTAGAAATTGAATAGTGCAAAAATGTTTCTTTCCCTAAAAGGGTCACTGCCCTATGAAAGTACAGTAACGAGTACTAAAAATAGACTAATTCTAGAGTTGAATGTACTTTCATTTTGTTTTACTCCCAGATGTCAACTAGTAAGATATCAGCATATGTATTTACCAAATGAGGAAATCCTGTTTGAACAACTTGAGCTTGAGAACGTTTTTCCTTCGCTAATAAACCACAAGATTAAGCATCACTGCAATGCCAGTATTCCCTATCCCAATGATATCCTTCAACTTGATTACTTTGGGAATTTGCCTTTTAAGATAACATTTAGCTAAGCTCACATGCTTGGCTTGGCTAACAAAACATGGACTCTACAAAACAGCTTAAGTCAGTATTTCTCCAAAAGCACAAGGTGCAAAGGACTTTCTGTGGGCGCTGAAAACCTACCCCGAGCTCTTATGCTATATGCTACGGTTTCAAAAGTGACATGATTAGCTTAGCAGGAGAGAGAGGCGCTCAGTGTTCAGGCATCTGGAAAAGTACTACCTTTGGCTGTTCAGTTTTACAAGTCATTTAATACTGTTTTACTAGCAGTTGTACAAACCCAAGTTATTTATCAAGCAGCAATGCATTTGCCCAAGACAAACAGCCCCTACCTTGAAAATATTAATTACTCTGAACAGCACACCAAGATTAAGTACCTGAGTGGCAGCGTCACATCATGCATCGCTGGCTGTGCTTCAATGCCTTTTAGCTGCCTCGCAAATTCTAAGCGGATGATGTGCAGCCAGCACTACACTAGACAATTCAAACTTCCGGTTGATTGAATTATAAATTTTACTGAGATTGCCTGCTTTTTACTATGGAGGTGGATAGCACAAGAAATACATAAGCACAATCATTTCCAGGCCATGTAAACTGCCCTGACTTTTTTTTTCCCCTCTCCCCTCATTTACATGGGCAGTGACTGGGTTTTATCCATTGGTAACCCACAATTCCAGAAACCTCAGCGGCTCCACCTTCTGAAGTCGTGTCCACCAGCTAGCTTATTTTTAGCACAAAAGACCAACATCTATCTAGACAGATTTCAGGCTTCACGCATTGCCCTGCCCCATTCCACCTAGCAGCTGACTGAAATTCTGACGCACTTCTGAAATTACATTTAAACTCAGCAAGAACAATTCAGATTTGAGATGCTTCTGAGTGACTGTGCAAAAGAGAAGTGGCTCCCGTCCATCTGTTCCATGCAGATATCGGAAATCCTACGGTACCAAGAAGGTGTTTGACCAAATATCCTGGGCCATAACAACTCCCAGCTGTTATGAAACATGCTATTGCCTTCAATGCCAGGGACGTTTCAGAATGTCAGTGCTGCATTTCAGGACTGCGCTTTCATACCCTTTAAAAATAAAGATACTGGAAGTATTCTACGTACTACATGGTATAATTGCATTATCTGCATAATGTGAGTTAATTGTATGGAGTCTATAAAGTTTTAGAAGATTTTCAGTTACACATTACGAACATTAGCTTTGAAACCTCAGTCTGCGCTTCCACTAACAACATACACTAAATTTGGATCATTTGTCCTTTTCGAATGTGATCAGTGATTCGTCTTATATGCTTCTACTAGAGACAAATAAACCACATTTAAATTACTACATCCTTTAAGTGAGTCTTCAAATCTGCAAAGAGCAACTGTGATATATGAACAATGAAGTGGCTGCAGCGCGTTCATACTCAAGGGCCACTCAACAACTGAGACAAGCACATACTGCTGAAAGTCCTGATCAAATCTCTCCCACACCCAGCATTCTCCATTATTAAGCATGAAAAATCAGGTGACAGCATACGAGCTTACAGTTCTCATAAAATTTCTAAAGGGTTTGTACTCCGCCTCCCCAAAGAACTGATACAGTTACACTTAAACCCAAACTAGATTCTTCTTATCCAAACTGTAGCATTCTTCTTCTCACAGAATGCCTTCATATCCCCTCAAGAGGACAACTTGGTTGCCATCACTTTCACTCTATGCGAGGCCTACTAGCTTTCCCTGAATTTTCTTCCCTCCATGAGGGCTTCTACCAGAGCCAAAGTTTGGACGGTTTGTCAGAGTCCTGATTTCAAAGTCTACAGTCACGTCTTGCGTATCTAGAAGATTGTAGTCAAGAATCTTCTTCTACGTACAACTGAAACAACGTGTTCAGCGCCGTCACCCTCCGCACTCGGAGGTCAGGTCAGGTCCAGCATCTCCCGTGTTCAAACGAAAACAGAATAGCAGAGCCTTGATCTCGGGCGCACTTCACCATTCACGAGAGACTGAAAATTTTACCCTGTATAATGCGGGTGGCAGGATCATCACCATCGCCAACTTGGAAGATAAATAAGTCATGGCCTCTGAAATTCTCAAGGCCAAAGATCAGCCAGCGAGGAGCATACTCGCCTACTTAACCAGTCTCCACGTTGCTACGCAGCCGGGCAGTGGGGTTTTCTTCCCCTTTTATCTGACGACAGGTGAACACTCCTAAGCCGCCAGGTTCAACAACTCAAACCGCAAGTTCTCGAGCGGGATTAAGGACACACGCCGGTAACTCCGAGCAAACCTGCGCGCCCGCGGGCTGGGCCGGCCGAGCACCAGGGCCCGGCCCGGCTCCGCTTCGCCCCGGCCGA